TTTAAAGTTTTATTTATTTATTTGAGAGAGAGAGAGAGCGCGCGCGCATGCACACACACAAGTGGGGGGAGGGGCAGAGGGAGAAGCACACTCCCTGCTGAGCAGGGATCCCAACACAGGGCCCCAATCAGGACCCTGAGATCATGACCTGAGCTGAAGGCAGATGCTTAACCAACTGAGCCACCCAGGCACCCCGGGTTAGGACCATTTTTTAGTCCCACTTTACAGATGAAGTTACTAGAGCTCAGAGAAGTTAAGTCACTTGCTCTAGGTCACAGCAGACCTGGGATTCAGATTCAGGGAGCCTAGCTCCCAAATCCTGACCAACCCCCATGGCCCACAGTGGCCATCCTGCCCCCTCCCCACACCCCAGGCTGTCCCAGGCCTTGGTATTCAGCCTTACACTCACATACCTCCCTGGCTGGATGCTCCCTGGGGGCAGCTCTCTCCTCAGGAACATCTGTTGTCCGTCCTTCCCACCCACCTATCTAAGGCATCTCATTAATTTGTTGAGATTGACTATTTGATGTGGGTCTTCTCATTTACTCATCAATTCCAACATTCTCTGACAATCCCCTGTGCCCAGCCCTGTTGTGGGCAATACCAACCCAGTGACTAATCCAGCCCAGTCTCCGCCTTCACGGAGCTCACAGACGGGGACAGGGATAGACGGTAAGAACCCAAAGTGGTCAGGGCTGGAATGGGGGAGCACAGGAGATTATGGGAGCCCAGAGGAGGAGCCTGGGCCAGCCTAGGGGGTCAGGGAGAGCTTCCTGGAGGAAGAGGCATCAAGAGTTGAGACCTGAGGGATGAGGAGACCAACCAAGAAGAGGCAAGGAGGGTATTCCAGACTGATAAACATACAAAAGCCAAGAGGAGAGAAGGCATATTCCCATTAGAGCAACGCTTCTCAAACTTAGTGTCTGTGAGACACCCACCCACCCCCACTACCGACGTGAGCCTATTAAATGCAGATCATGGTCTGGAGTCCGGCATAAGATGCCGCGTTTCTAACACACTCCCAGGTAATGCCAAAGCGACTGGTACAGGGACCACACTTTGAGTAGTCAGTCCTGGAGGACCAAAACGAAGTTCATTTCTGACTTGGGCCAGCAGGTGAGGGGTGCAGCAGGAACCACTCTGAGTCTGAAAAGCCATGCTTTGCACCTTGTACTCTATCCAGGTGCTGTGGGGACCCACAGAAGAGATTTGAGCAGGGGCGGGACAGAGAAGTAGAAAACTCCCTCAGGAGAGCAGGTAGCCTTTGAGACTGGGGGCTGGGAGAAGACAAGGCCCAGGGCTCTGGCTTGGGAACTGGGGATGGTGGGGCCACTGCTGACATAGGGCAGGAAGACGAGCTGGCAACCCCCCCCCCCGCCCCGCTCCCTCCCCCAGGCTCCTTGGGCCCTCTCTCCAGGCCATTTGAGGCACAAAGCCAAGGCCTCTCTCTCTGGGTAGGTGGGACATCTTGTGTGTCCCCCTAACCTCCCCCCCGCCCCCAGGCCTATTTGGCATGGCTCTCCTCCGGTCTCCCCAGCCTTTTCCAGTTTAAAAAAAGCCCCGCCACACCAGTCCCTGAGGACCACAGTCCTGACAGATGGCCAGACAGGCTCAGGCAGGGGGAGCTGAGACAGACTAGAACTGCCAGATTGAATCCTGTATTTCCCTTCCTCCCGAGAAAGTGGTTAAGGTTTTCCCGCCTGGCCTTGCTCTTGTTCCATGAAGTACGGACTTTCGCATCCTAATAATGGTAGCTCCTCCCCGGTCGTGGCGGATCCCACATGCAGGCCCAGTGCTACACACTCCGCAGATACCTCCTCCTGCCTCCCAACAGCCACCCGTGAGGAAGATCCCTTCATCATCCCCGCTTCACAGATGAGAAAGCGGAGGCCTGAAGGCAAAGCGCCTTGCCCAGAATCTCTCAGCCAGCAAGTGGCAGAGCTGGGATGGAGCCCCAGCAGGCTGGCTCTCGCTTCAGTCCGCACCTTCAACTCAACTCCTGCTCTCCCCATGCTCATTTGCCAAACAGAGGTTCAACCAAGGGCCTCCCAAATGCCAGACCTCTAGCTGCAAGTCCAGTTGGGACTAAACCCAGCCAGCAGCCCTGCTCTCCTGTGGCTCCAAGCCCGGTGTAGGAGATAGACATGAACCAGGCAGTGACAGAGACCGCCCAGTGGCAACCTCAGATGGAGTTCTGGGCCATGGTCACATCCTTGTCCAGTTGAGTATTTGGACCCATGAATAGCACTTGACATTTATTTTCCTCCAGGCAGACTCTGCATTCTAGACCAGGTGGGAAAAGCCCCTGACTACCCCCTTACCCCCCACCGTCCCCCCACCCCCAGCCTTGGAACAGTCCTGAGGGAGATATAGACAGGGGCAAGGTGAGGAGGGAGAGGCTTCGAGGGGAGAGGACTTAAGTAGACCAGAATGTAGGGAGGGCCAGGCCAGTTCTCAAGACCCCTCCTTGAACCCCACTCCCTTGGCCTCTGACCTCTGCCAAACACCCAATTTCCCAGGTGGTGATGGCAGCAGCCAGTGGAGACAGAGACCGGGTCCTGCAGAAATCCCAGGACCTCAGATTCCTCACGGGCTTTGAAACCAAGGTGGAAAACACTGCAGGGGTTGGGGGGCTGCTTCTCTCTCCTGCGGGGCTCTGGGGAGGAGTTGGGGGGGGAATGGAGGCTGCTTGGCTACTCACAAACTATGGGGAAATGGGCCCCATTTATGTCTTCTAGAGGGAGGGAGTGGGGGGCTGCTAGTGGGTACTGGGGGTGGAGAAGTGGAAGCTGTTTCCCTGTTCTAGAGTGAGGGCTACTGGTCTACTGGAGGCTCTGAGAGGAAGTAAAGAGCCATTTTGGGGAGGTCTGGGGGCTCTGGAAGGAGTGCAGGCTGCTTATGACTCCTGAGGGAGTAGGGGGCCTGCGTTTACACTTGAGGGTATGTGGGAGACGAGGGTGCTCATCCCTTCCAGGTTAAGTGGAGGGCTGTACCTCCACGCCACGTGCCTCTTGCTCTCGCCCATCCATAGGCATTCTCGGATGCCCACGTGGAAGCAGTGATGATCCTGGGGGAGCCCTTCGCCACCCCGGGCCCCTACGACTTTGGGGCAGGTGACACTGCCCGCCGAGTGCAGGGCCTCATCCCTGTGCTGCTGCAGCATCGGCTGCGCCCACCGCCCGAGGAGACCTACGCCCTGCACCGCAAGCTGGCAGGGGCTTTCCTGGCCTGCACCCGCCTCCGCGCCCACATCGCCTGCCAGGACCTCTTCCAGGACACCTACCACCGCTACTGGGCCAGTCGCCAGGTGTAGCCACTGCCCGCGGCCTGTTTTGCCCGTAGCCTCCTGACCAAAAGGGACGTCTGGTCAGACCCGTTAGACAGCATCCCGGGATTCTGGCCCCAAAGCAGGCCATCCCCGGCTGTGATGCCTCCTTTCCATTCTCCTGCAGGTCGGGGACCTCTCCCCCACCTTGGGCTTCCCAGTCTTGCCTAACTCCCTTCCTGGGGATCTGGGGAACCCTTGGGCTAGGGAACTCCCAGCTTCACACCCCCATATCTTGCTCTCCCCACTCCAAAGTGGGCATCCAGGAACTCTGCGCCAGGGATTAACTTATTTTTGCCAACATTTAAGAGCCTTAGGCCCCCTGCCCACCAGCATGCAGATCCAGACTCATGTAGATGGGGAGCCCCTCAATTCTGCCTCAGGTCTCCCACGGATCTGGCCAGTGAAAGGAGAGGGGCGGTGGTTGGTGGAGGCAGTCCTCACCTTTGCTGCCCTCACCCCTCCACCAGCTGCGTTCTCCCCGTTCTCCCTGGCTCCATCTTTTCTATGTGTTGGGGAGGGGGTAGGGAAGGGTGTCTGAAACTTCAGACGGGAATAAAAGAGGCTCCCCTTCCCGGCTCTTTTCTCTGCGCTGGGGGGAGGGGGGTTGGGGGGGAGGAGCTCTCAGCCTGCCTCCAGGTGCAGATGGCCAATCCCCCTCCCATCCTCTGGTCTGAAAGCCCCAGCCCAGGCTGGGCCATCTGTTGCCGGGAACCTCCTTCTACCCATTCCCTCCCACCCGCCACCCCTCCCGCACGTGCTGACCACCTGCTCGAAAGGCTGTGGCAGCTGAGAAGTCCTGCCCCCCCCCCACCTCCCAGGCTCCCCGCTCCCTCCCCTCGGCTCCCGGCAACCTCGCCTTTGCTAATGGGCCGTAATGCCCCTGCCAGCTGCTTTGCCAAACCCACAGGACTGAGTGGGAGCGGGGTGTGCTGTAGTGGCCAGAACCACGCCCTGGTCCCACCCCGGCGCCCCCGCCCCCGAAGCCGAAGCCCTCACGCACTAGGACGCCGGGGTCTCTTCATTCCCCCTCCCCTTCCTTGCAAAAAGTGCCTCGTCACCGCTTCTGCCCGCCCCCGCTGGGCTGGGAGAACCGTGGGGTTAGCTGGAAGATTTGGGTATGTGGGGCGGCGGCAAAGGGCTTCCTGATGCAGCTCTTTTACGGACATGGAACAGAAGAGGACCTCAGGTCAAGGGTCACAGAGGGCAAGAGAGCCCACGCCTGGACGGGCCCGGGGGGAAGGTCTCAGCGAGGCTCACATGCTGGCTGAGCCAGGGACTGGCCAATGGGCGTGGCGGGGCGGCGGCCGCACCAGAGGAGGCGGGGTCATATCTGCGTACAGGCGTGGCCTGCAGGCCAGGGGGTGGGGCTTGAGCCGGCCAGGCGCCGGGCCGGGGCGGGGTTTTCTTGCATATACCGCAGGCGGCGGGCCAATGGGCGGGGCTGGGGCGGGGAGCCGAGGCAGGAGGGGCGCTCCCCCGCCCCCGGAACGGAATCCTCCCGGGGAGCGGAGCAGGCTCGCGCGCGTGCATCCCGCACCATCCCCCGGCCCCCGGCCCCGGCCGGCGTCAGACCGAGCTGCCGCCGCCGCCGTCGCCGCCGCCACAGGAGCAGCAGCGCTCGGGGATCCGGGCCCAGCCGGGGCCGCGGGAGGCGGGGGCGCCCGGGCCCTGGATGTCCCGCAGCGCGGCGGCCAGCGTGAGAAGGGCGGGAGAGGGGGACTGGGGTGGGGGGCGGCGCCGCTGCTGATGTGGCGGAGGGTGGGAGGCGGCCGCGGCGCCCGGATGGAGAGAGGGTGCCAAGGCTGGGGAGGGTGGGTCTGGGTGGGGGTCCAGAACAGGCCCCCTCCAAGCCAAAGCTTGAGAGACTGGGGTCTGGGGCACAGGCCCTCTCTTGCCAAGGCCCTGGTAATAGGGATCTTGGACATAGACCTGCCCCTCAAAAAAAAATCAAGGACGGGGGACATTCTAGGTACAACTCCCTGGGCAAGGTTTTGGGGATGGGGTCCAGGACACAACCCCACATCAGGCCAAGGCCTCCAGGAGGCCGTTCCAGAGGAGACGCAATCCCTACCCCTCCCTGCCTGAGGTGGTCTCTGAGCACAACAACCCTCTAGACAAGGTGTTGAGGATGGGGGTCCCTGGGCACAGCTTTCCCACCAAGCCAAGGCCTGGGGGGGATTCCAGGCACAGTCTGTACCCAGGCCTCAGAGACGTCCTGAGCACAGCATCCCCCCCAATCCTTGGGCGGCGTCCCAGGAATAGCCCCTTCTCAAAACAAGGTCCCTGTGCCTGGGACTCCACCCCCCACCCAGCCTGAATAAAATAGGGAAATTTCAGGCAACCCCCAAAGGCTTGGTCAAGGGTCCCTGGGGCTGCCCAGGGGCCTGGGAGTGGCCCCACCCGCAGACAATGTGCCGCCTCCCTCTCCTGGGTATGGCCCCCCAGGCTCCAAGATTCAGGCTGGGGATGGGGGGGCGGCTCCCCAGGGACCCAGTGCAGCCCTGTCTGTCTGCAGCGTCTGCGGGTGACGGGCGGCTTTGTGTGTGGTACCTGGGGGGAAGGGGGGACGCAAGCGATAGGGAGGTGGCTAAGAGTGTGACCCGGTGTTTGTGTGACTGTGGCTGTGTGTGTGTGTGCACTGGAGCTGGTGACTCTGAGGAATCCTGTGTGTGTGTCTGTGTTTTGTGCTTGTGGTTGTGTCTAGTAATGTGTACGATGGTGTCTGTGTGTGACCCCAGCATTTATGTGACTCTGTGTGTGTGACAGCTACTCCTTGTGCAGAACCCTGTACTTTTTAGTCTGTGTTTGAGTGTGCGTGTGCATGGTTGTGACTATGTGGTTGTGTCTGTGATTACATCTTTTGTGACCCTGGGTGTGTGCTTTGGTAACTATAACTGGGCTGTGACAGTGTGTGTGTTGGGTCTGGGGTTGGGCAAGTGTGTGGCCGACAAGCTGTGGGTGGAGTTGGGACTGTGTACGTGGAGTTGTGTCTATGACTCCATGGCCATGTGCCACTCTCCCAGTGATTTGTGAATGTTTGTGGTTGCATCTATAACTGATCGTATATGTGGGTCACACATATGGCTATGTGACACACAACTGTTCCTGCAACTCTGGGTATGTGACTGCCATTATATATGAAGACACATTGTGCCCGGTTGTGTGATGGCCCTGTGACGTGTAGGACAACGGTTGTGTGTTCACGGTCACATCTATGTCTCCATCTAGCTCTGTGTGTTGATACTAAGTGACTGTGTGCATTTATAGTTGTGTCTGCATGTGATTTGGGTGAAAGATTGGAGTAGGGGTCTGAACCCCTGACTATTAATAGAGGGTTATTTCATCGTGTGTGACTCAAGCTCTAGTTGTGTCTGTGTGTGGTGGCACCAGGTACTGTGTTTGTGTGTGGGGGTGGGTATAGGTGATTGCACCTTCTAAATTTGTGTGTGACCTGCATGTCTGCGACCCTGGGTGATTCTATGTACTTAAGTGTATGTCGTGGCCTGAGAGAGTACGCGTGTCTATAGCCATGTGGCTGTCTGGTGTGTGTGTGTGTCCCTGTGTGCGTGCTGGACCACATGGGTTTCCATCTAGGTGATTTGGTAACCGGGTGACTCTCCTGACCGCGTACATGGCTCTACCAGGAACTGTGTCTTCTGTGTAGACGCAGCTATAAGCCCTATGTCCGGGTCACCGCATTTCTGAGTTCTGTCTCTTCATCACTGTGTGCTTATGACGTGTGACGTAGAAATTGTGTGCTGATGTCTCTCTGTGTGAGATACTGTGCGTCTGTCCACATGGCGCTGTGACTGTATGTGGCCACAGGCTTCGCCCTGTGACCTGTGTGTTTGTGTGAAGAGAGACTGTGTGTTTGTGATGGGGTGACATGTGCAGCCGGGGATGGGACACTGGGGGACTGTGTCATGGCCAGGGTGTATGGCTGGGTAACGTGGACACTGATGCTGTGTGGCTTGGCACACATGGCCATTTCTGAAATGCATATGGCTGGAACTGTCTGGCCGTACTTGAGCGTGGCAATCCCAAGGGACTGTCGTTTCTGGGTGGTTCTGTGCATGTCTTCAGTGTGCGTGCCTGGTCCTCTATCCCGCACAGGCTAGGGCCGCCCGTGTCTTTGTGTGTGGTTGGCTGGGGAGGACCCTTCATGTTAGGTGTGGCTGATGCTGTGACCACACGTGTGTCCCGGTGACTGGGTGTGTGACCGTGAAGCTCCTGTGGCTGTGGCGGGGTGGGACCGAATGTGTGTCGGTATGTCTGCATGCACCCATGACCACGTCATCGGGCAGCGGTGGAGCCGCATGTGACAGGTGTGTGTGGCTGGGACCATGTCCGTGCGTGACTCTGCTAAGGGGCGACCTCTGACCAGTGTGACTGTAGGTGCTGCGACACGAGTGTGTCGGGCGGGGGCCTGAGGAGATGTCACTGGGAGTGAGTCCTGCTCCGGTGCGTGTGCCCGGGCCCGGCTCTCTGTATGTGGCTGAGAAAACAAGAAGCGACCAAACATCCAGTAGCTGATGTGACCAGATGTTCGTGGCAGCGCCTGGGCAGGCTGGGGCTTGCTATTCGCATGGACAAACGTCTGTGTCTGTGAACACAGATATGTGACCAGCCAGTGATAGTGGCTGACGCTGTTTACGTGTGTCTATGTGATGCGGCGTGTGCAGCTGGGTGGTTTCTGTGCATAGTCACACGTGCGGACCTGTGCCCAGGGGCTGGGGACAACTGTAGACCTGAGTTGCATGCGTGCACGCATGTGACAGTATGTTTATGTGTAGCCTGGACATGTGTCTAGGGGTCAAGGCCACTCCCTCCTCACACCATCCCCTTGGGTACTGAGGGCCTCCTGAGGCCAGGACATCCCCAACACATGCCCCCCCGAAACACACCTACTCATTCCCGGGCCCTTGCTACCAGGTGCCTGGTCTCCCTAGTAACAGTTGCTATGACAACCGGGGCTCTCATCAGGGAGCCTGAGATGGAGGGGGGGGGTTGGCTGTTGTCAGAGGGGGTCAGGTAGGGGACTGAGCCCCAACCCAAGCCAGTTTCTCACCTTCTCCTCCCTTCCTTGGGCAGGGCGGACCCAGGAGGCCTGAGCCGCATCTGCCCCCAGCCCCCTGTGGGGCCCCGGGGCCCCCTGAAACCTCCAGGACGGAGCCAGGTGAGTGACCAGCTGGGGCCAGGGCAAGGGCTGAGTGAGTGCGTGGGTCTGCCTCGCACAACCGGGGGAACTGTCCCTGTGCTCACACGGGCTTAATCACACTCATGAGTGGACACCTCCAAATGTCTTCCCTGCACACTCAGTGACCGTCACAATCACACCCTTACAAATAACACTCATAAACACACTCTCAGACAACAACCTCCTGCTCTCACACATCTACCCAGATACTCAGTGGCAGAGACACACCCTCAGAACAACATGCATGAACCCACACTCACTACAACAGCTACACACTCTGACACACACACCCTCCCAAACAAAAGCCACAGACACACGGCCTCACCACCAACAGCGGCACTCTTGGCCAGAGACACGGACTCTCTGATAACTCAGTCACACACTGTCCTAGGTGACAGCTATCGAAGACAATAGCCACACCCGCACACAGACACACAGCTTCAAAAGCAACGGTCATGGACACACCCTTTCGAAGACAACAGCTTCATGCTCAGACACATGCTCACAGGCATGTTCCCTGACACACAGTCCATGACCACTCTCACAGTTAAATACCCTTCAGCAACAACCTTCCGGGACCTTCACTTACGGACAACAACCACACTCTTGGACACTGACCCCCTCACAGACAGCACTCCCAGACACACTTTCACAGACAACCATTCTCAGACCTGTGTCCTTCTGTACATACAGTCTTCAGAAATACACTCATAGATTATCGCTGCATGCTCAGATCTAGACACTGTTCAGGAATACACCAGTTGCACACTTGCTTGCACACACACACACACACACAGAGGCCCCATCTGCTGGTGGTGCTCTATCCTGGTTGGCCCCTCATGCTCCTCCTGGGACTGTCAGGATGGCTTATCAGTCAGTGAAGACCGTCCCCACCTCCACTGTGACCACCTCCACTCCCCCACCTTCGTCTGATGCTCACAGGTGCACACCACCCCGGGGGCTCCTGCCTTTGACTAGACACAGTTGACAGGGGCGGAGGATCTCAGAGGGACAGAGACAAGCCCCCAGCCCCCACACCCTCTGGCTTGGGTTCTGGACCTCAATCCTTGGACTTTCTGAGTCTCCCCACATCGAACGCATGCAACTCCCAACTCTCGTGCTCTCTGACCATCTCATTCCCTGACCTCCTACCCCTAAAACCCCTGGCCTCATGTCCCATGGCCACTACGCCTTCTGACCCCTGTGCCCTCCAATGTCTTGACTCCCCAATAGTTTGGATCCTCATACCTCCTGACTGTCTCACATCCCTAATCTCCAGACTGCTAAAAGCTGTGATTCATGACCCCCTCCATCCCAGACCTCCATGTACTTGGGCCCCAAGTTTTTCTTCTGAAGCCCCACTGCTGACTCTGGCATTTCCCTGCCTTCCCGTCCCCTGACTGTTGCTGATGCATGTTCCCTGAATGCCATGTTCTTTGACCCAGTGATCCCCCCCGACCCTGTAACCCAAATCCCATGTTATCTGACCTCATGTTTCCTGAGCACTGTATCCATCCCCCTGGAGCCCATGCCTCCGGCCCCCGCCCTTAACCTGCGTGCCCCTGTCCTGTGTCACCAGAAGGGGCGGGCACCATGAATAAGTTACGACAGAGCCTGCGGCGGCGGAAACCAGCCTACGTGCCCGAGGCGTCGCGCCCCCACCAGTGGCAAGCAGACGAGGACGCGGTGCGCAAGGGCACGTGCAGCTTCCCGGTCAGGGTGAGTGGGCGGGGCGCGGGCGGGGATGTGGGCGGGCCGCCGGCAGAAGCTGTGAGCTCGCAGGTCCCTGGTGCGGGGCGGGATGGCTGAGGCCCCGTCCTGTACAGAAGAGAGGTCACATTCCCAAAGAGTTGTGGAGCCTGCTGGAGCACGACCCCAAGGTCTGGGCCCCTCAAAGGCGGGATCAAAACCCAACACATATTCTCTTGTACCGGGAAGGTATTATCTGGGGACCGGGGGGGGGGGGGGGGGGGGGGGGTAACTTCTTCCTGGAGTCACCCTATTCTGTGGGAGCTCACAATTTCCACAAGGCACTGGACGACTCTTCACAACACACACTGCGTTTCTGTGAGGGAGACAGCAGGATTCAGGTTCAAATCCCAACTCCGCCCCCATCGGCTGTGGTCACAACCACTGTGTTTCCCTTCCCCCAGAAGCAGTCATGGAGTGTGAGGGGTCCATCTGGAGGTGTGGGAGATGCTGGTGATGCTGGTGATGCTGGTGGGGCTGAGGAAGGGTAGGCAGCCTGTAAAGGGTGTGTCACTAACCTGCAGCTGTGGGCACCCCAGTACCCCTGGGTAAGAATGCTGGGAAATAGAGCCATCCCGGCCACAGGGTGAGGGCGCTGGGGTGAGCATACCCCAGCTCCCATCGGTCATCAGTGGGCCAGTCCTGGGGCCCAGAGATGCAGACATTGGCGCCCAGAAGGAAGAGGGTAACGTGTTAAGGCCTAGGAATAGAGGCAAGGTGGGGATCAGGACGCCTGCTTCAGCATCCTCATCTGTATATCTGGGATGGGAGCGGAGTACCCACCTCACAGGGCTGAGGTGCAGAGTGGATTCATATGTAGGATGGGTGAGGGACCTTGCATCGCAGCTGCTCAGGGGACACTGGGAAGGTATTACCGTGCTGATTTCCATGCTCCCGTCTCCTCCCTGCCAAGTACCTGGGCCATGTGGAGGTGGAAGAGTCCCGGGGGATGCATGTGTGTGAAGATGCCGTGAAGAAGCTGAAGGCGGTGAGTGAGGGGTGGAGCCGGGAGGGGGCCAGCTCAGACCCCAGGAGGCAGCCCTGACCAGGCCCTTTATCCTCCTCCCCCGCCCCAGATGGGCCGGAAGTCCGTGAAGTCTGTGCTTTGGGTGTCAGCCGACGGGCTCCGAGTGGTGGATGACAAGACCAAGGTAGGAGGCTTGTGGGGGTGGTAGGGGGCACCGGTGGGCCCCTCGCCTCCCCCCGGCTTGAATCGGGGCTTAGGACGCCTTCCCACCCACCTCATGGTCCCTCCCTCCCGGGCCTTCTAGACCATGTGCTCCCGCAACATCTTGGCACACCTCGTAGTCGTAATTCAGGACTGGGTCCTGCAGTTATTATAAGCTGGCACAGATAGGGAGCAACCGTCTTAGCTCGGATCCCAGCTCACCCACGTATCTGCTGGGTGACCCAGAGTATGAGATTTAACCCCTCCGGGCCTCAGTTGCCTCATCTGTGAAATGAGGATAAACATGGAGCCTGCCCTAAATGAGAAGGTAGGTGCACGCAGTGTAAAACGGTGCCTGGTACAGTATTTGTGCTCAGATCAGTGGATGTTAGCTGTTCTGGGTTTATTCTCAGTGCACGCGGCCAGGATCTGAGCTTCTGTTTGCTCACCGTTGATTTCCCGGCCCAGAGACTGCCCAAGGAGGCAGCAGCACATGACAAGAGTTAGGTTAACAACTAAACAGGATTGATGCCTTTGCACAGGCAGTTCCTGAGTGCAGAAAGACCGTTCCCTGCCTTTTTGCCTAGTTAATACCTCTTCCAGGAAGCTCGGCCCGTCTCCTTAGCAAGCTGAGTTGGGTACCTCCTCGTGGCTCCCACCGGTCCCTCCTCGTGGCCCCCATCCCGGCCCTGACGCCTCGCCTGTGTCTCTCTCTGGTGATGGGCCTGAGTCCCACACTAACGGGGGAGCCCCATTCAAGCAGGGCCCACCTCTGTTTCAATGAGTGTGGCGTCCCCCACCCCGTTCAGGACAGGACAGAGAGCAGACACTAAGGGAGTGCTGAATGAATACATGAAAGATAGTTCAAGTTCCTCTCCTGGTTTCCCTGGCCACCGTCCAGGACCTGCTGGTAGACCAGACCATCGAAAAGGTCTCCTTTTGTGCCCCTGACCGCAACCTGGACAAAGCTTTCTCCTATATCTGCCGGGATGGGACCACCCGCCGCTGGATCTGCCACTGTTTCCTGGCACTCAAGGACTCTGTGAGTATCACCAAAGCCGGGAGGAAGCTGGCTGACTCCTCTCCTGTGGCGTCAGGCCAGCCACTCACCCCTCCTCTCTGTGCCCTGTGTCCTCACAGCTCCTAACTTCGAGGATTATGGGGAGGCTGGAGGGGGTTAATACAAAGTATTTGGAATGACAGTTGGCACATCAGAAGCGCCCAGGAAAACATTATCATCTTTCTCATTATCCATAGTTCTGCATGTTTCTCTTATTTTTGTTTTTTATGAGGGTCGTATGCATATAGTAACATGCACAGGTGGTCTGGGCAGGGCTCCATAAACTTGTGCTTACATAAAAACCCCAGCCAGGCCAAATTGTAGAGAGTTTCCTGCCCCCAGCTGGTCCCTCGGGCCCTTCTCAATGATACCCCCAGGGTACCCACTCTTCTTTTAGCCTCGATTCACTGTGTCTGTGTCAAGGTCCCTGCCGAGAATCTGATGGAAGCCACAAATGGACTGTCTTCTCAGAAACATTCTCTTAGTTAGGATTCTGAGGCTGTGACAGAAAACCCCCAGATGCCAGTCATTTCAGTGAGATAGAAGTTTGTCCCTGGTTCATGTGAAAGACATCCAGAGGCAGGTAGTGTAGGATTGGTGTGGCTCCTCTCTGCCCATCAAGGGCTGTGGGGCTTCTTTATCTTGTTGTGGCACCGGAGTGTGGCCTCCACTCCATGATCCAAAATGGGTGCACATGCTCCAGCCTTTGCATCTTCATTCCAGCTACATAAAGGAGGGAGGTTCCTTCCACTGCACTGCTGCAGAGATAAATCCAGGTTCCCAGTGTCCCAGGTTAAAATTCTGACAAGAAGGTATGGGATTGGCCTGGCTTGGGTCAGGCCTCCCCTTGGTCCAGGGAGCGTGGAGCACACAGACTGACTTATCCAACATGGAGGAGGAGCTCCCCAAAGGAGTTTGGGGTGCTGTTATCAAAAGCAAGGGAAATGGATACTGGGCAAGTAAAACAACACATACCCCTCTCAGATTTTCACGGGATTCCTTCGTATTTCAGAAATCCCCGCCCCAAGAGCTCCGAACTCCCAAAACTGGTCAGTACCCCCAACTTCCTCACTCATACACACACTCTCAGACCTCAAACCGGATGTGGAAAACCAACGTGAGAGTGTCGGGATGGATTAGTCAGTACTGGTGAGTGCCTGCCAGGGGCTAGCATGGAGATCTCAGAAACCAGAGCCTCGAGCAACTGCATATTTCCTGAGCATAGCAGGCTAAGCTGTATTGGCTATCTGTTGCTGCGTAACAAATTGCTCCAACTTTTAGTGGCTTAAAGTGACAGTCATTTATTATCTCTCAGGGGTTTTGTAGGTCAGGGATTTGGACGAGGCTCAGCTGGGTGGGGCTGGGTCCAGGGTCTCTTATTGCTGCTACAATCTGATGGTGTTTGGAGCTGTAACCCCAGGAGTCCGGCTGGATATCCCCACTCTTCACATATCTCAGGACTTCTCCACAAGGACTCTCTGGCAGGGGGGGTCAGGAGAGCTGGACTTCTTACATGGTGGCACAGGGCTCCAAAGTGAGTAGAGAGAATGAGAGAGCTCGCACCTGCTTGGTCTTGGTCTTGGTCTTGGTCTTGGTCTTGGTCTTGGAAACCACACAGCCTTGCTTCTGTGGGATTCTGTTTGTCCAGACGTTCGCAGAGGTCTTCCCAGGCTAAGCGGGGAGAACACAGACTCCACCTCTGATAGGGGAGTGACAAAATTCTGGAAGAGCGGGCAGTTGCCAGAAATTTGCTGTGGCTATTTTTGGAAAACACGTGGCCACATTGTTAGTATGGATTCAGTGTCACACCCCCTAGCTGTGGGACATGAAGCCCGAGTGACTTTGCTCTCAGGGACTCAGTCTCTTCCTCCATGAAATGGGGGTGTTAGCAGTGGCTGCTCACAGGTGTGTTGGGGAAGCATTCATTAGGATCACACCCAGAAAGTTCTACTCAGAGTCCCATAACACGTGTTCAGTCACTAGGAATAGTTGCTGTCATTTGAAAAGTACTTGGGGGGTGCCTGGGTGGCTCAGATGGTTAAGCGTCTGCCTTCGGCTCAGGTCATGATCCCAGGGTCCTGGGGATCGAGTCCCGCATCGGGCTCCCTGCTCCTTGGGAGCCTGCTTCTCCCTCTGCCTCTCTCTCTCTCTTTCTCTCTGTCTCTCATGAATAAATAAATAAAATCTTTAAAAAAAAAAAAAAAGAAAAGTACTTGGGATGGGGGGCGCCCGGGTAGTTCAGTCAGTTAAGCATCTGCCTTCAGCCCAGGTCATGATCTCAGCGTCCTGGGATCGAGTCCCGCATCCGGCTTCTTGCTCAGTGGGGAGTCTACTTCTCCCTCTCCTTTTGCCCCTCCCCCTCCTTGTGTTCTCTGTCTCTCTCTCTCTGTCTCAAATAAAATAAAATCTTGAAAAGTACTTGGGGGAAAGAATCAAAGCAAGAAAAGAGCAAGGCCATCTCCTCTGGGTAAAGAACGTGACCTTCTCTGCATTCCCTTCCACTTCTGAGCCTTGGGTTTGAAGCATTAAGCAGCAGAACTCCCAGGATTCCCCGAGTGTAACTTTATTTTTTGAGGTGCAATTCACATGAAATTCATCAGATTGAAGCATACACTTAAGTGGCATTTAGTCCGCTCTCAACTTTGTTTGTTCATCACCTCTCTCTAGTTGCCAATATTCTCATCGCTCCTAAAAGGCACCTCAGACCCATTAAGCCATTGCTCCCTTTGCCCCACACCCTCCTCCCCAAGCCTGGCAACAGCTAGTCTTTCTGTCTCTGTGGAGTTACCTCTTTTAGATAGTTCATACAAACTGAGTCATATGGTATGTGGTCTTTCGCGACTGGCTTCTTTCTCTTAGCATCATGTTTTTGAAGTTCGTCCTCATTGTAGCATGTCAGTACTTTTTAATGGCTGAATAATATTCCATTGTATGGATATATTACATGTTGTTTATCTTTTCATCCATTGATGGACATTCGGGTGGTTTCTACCTTTTGGATATTGTGAATAGTGCTGCTATGGACATTGGTGCACAAGTATTTGTTTGAATACCTGTTTTTAATACTTTTGGGGTCTATACCTAGAAGCCGGATTGCTAGATCATATGCTAGATCTGTTTAAATTTTTGAGGAATTGCCAAACTGTTTTTCACAGAGGCTACACCGTTTTACATTCCCACTAGCGAAGTACAAGGGTTCCAATTTTTCCACACCCTGGCCAGCACTTAATACTTTCCTTTTTTTTTTTTTTAATTATAGCCACCCTAGGGGCACCTGTGTGGGTCAGTTGGTTAAGCCTCTGCCTTCGGCTCAGGTCATGATCCCAGGACCGTCCTGGGATCGAGCTCCGCATTGGGCTCCCTGCTCAGCCAGGAGCCTGCTTCTCCCTCTCCCTCTGCCTGCCGCTCCCCCTGCTTGTACTTTCTCTGTCAAATAAATACAAAAAAAAAAAAAAAAATTATAGCCACCCTAGTAGGTGTGAAGTGGTATCTCATTGTGGTTTTGATTTGCATTTCTCTACTGACTAATGATGTTGAGACTCTTTTTATGTGTTTAGTCACCATTTGTATATCTTCGGAGAAATGTCTATTCAAATCCTTTACCCATTTTTTTTAAATTGGGTTGTTTGTCTTTCTATTGTTGAGTTGTAAGAACTTTTTATATATTCTGGATACTAGATACTTATCAGTTATATGATTTGCAAAAATTTCCCCCCATTCTGTGGTTTGTCTTTTCACTTTCTTGATAGTTCCTTTGATGTACAAATGTTTTTAATTTTGATGAAGTTCAATTTATCTTTTTTTCTTTTGTCATTTGTGTATTTGGTGTCATATCTGAGAATCCATTGCCAAATCTAAGGTCATGAAGATTTACTCCATGTTTTATTCTGAAAGCTTTATAGTTTTAGCTCTTACATTTAGGCCTTTGGTCCATTTTGAGTTATTTTTGTAAATGGTGTGAAGTAGGGGTCCAACTTTATTTTTTCCATATGGATGTCCAGTTGTCCTAGCACCATTTGTTAATAAGACTGTTCTTTCTCCATTGAAGTTTTAGTACCCTTACTGAAAATCAATTGACCATAGATGTGTAGGTCAATATCTGGCTCTCAATTCTATTTCATTGATCTATATGTTATCCTTATGGCAGTATCACATTATTTTGATTACGGTAGCTTTGGAGTGCTATTTAAATCAGGGAGTGTTTGTTCTTTTTCAAAATTACTTTGGCTGTTCTGGGTCCTTTGCAATTCCATGTGAATTTTAGGGTCAGCTTTTCTATTTCTACAAGAATCTATTGGGATTTCGGTGGGGATTGCATTGAATCTATAGACTACTTTGGAAATATTGCTATTGTTAACAATATTAAATCTCCCAATCCATGAGCATGGGATGTATTTCCATTTATTTAGGTCTTCTTTAATTTCTTTCAGCAGTGTTTGTTTTCAGCATACATGTCTTTGACTTCCTTGGTTAAATTTATTCCTAACCATTATTTTATTTTATTTTATTTTATTTTATTTTATTTTATTTTATTTTATTTTATTTTTTGAGAGAGAGAGAGAGCATGCACATGGGGGGTAGGGGCAGAGAGAGAGAAAAAATCTTAAGCAGGCTCCATACCCAGCACAGAGCCTGACACAGGGCTCCATCTCACGACCCTGAGATCATGATCTGAGCCGAAATCAAGAGTGGGATGCTTAACCAACTGAGCCACACAGTCGCCCCCATTTTATTATTTTAGATGCTGTTGTAAGCGGGATTGTTGTAACTTCATTTTTGGATTGTTCACTGTTAGTGTAGATACGTATAACTGATTTTTGTGTGTTGATCTTGTTTCCTGCAACTTTGCCAAATTCATTTATTACCACTAATAGTTCCTTTATGGATTCTCTACGATTTTCTCTAAATAAGATTATGTCATTTGTAAATAGAGCTAATGTTATTTCTCCCTTTCCAATTTGGATGCCTTTATTTCTTTTTCTTGTCTAATTACTCTAGCTAGAACTTCTGGTACAGTGTTGAATAGAAGTGATGAAAATGAGCATCCTTGGGCCTCTGGGTGGCTCAGTTGGTTGGGTGACTGCCTTCGGCTCAGGTCATGATCCCGGAGTCCCAGGATCAAGTCCCACGTCAGGCTCCCTGCTCAGCAAAGGAGCTTGATTCTCCCTCTGACCCTCCCCCCTCTCATGTACTCTCTCTCTCTCTCATTCTCGCTCTCTCAAATAGATAAATAAATCTTTGGAAAAAAAAAAGAAAATGGGCATCCTTGTCTTGTTCCTGTTCTTAGGGAAAAGCTTTCACTCTTTCACCATTGAGTATGATGTTAGCTGTGACTTTTTATCAGGTTGAGGAAGTTCCCTTCTATTCCAAATTATTTGAACTTTTTTTTTATCATGAAAGGGGGCTGGGTTTTGTCAAATACTTTCTCGGCATTCATGGAGATGATCGTGTGGCTTTTTTCCATCTTTCCGTTAATGTGGTGTATTACGCTGATTGATCTTCATATGTTGAACCAACCTTGCATTCCTGGGATAAATCTCATTTGATCATGGTGCATAACCCTTTTCCTGTGCTGGTGAGTTCAGCTTGCTAGTATTTTGTTGAGGATTTTTGTCCCCAAGTTTATCTTTAAAAGGTGGCTGAGCATCTTGGTTAGGAAACAGAAGTCAGATCAATCTCATTCTCATCCTAATTCTGCCACTCGCTTATTGTAATGGGTATGTTGACTAAGGTTCAGTCTCTTTGTCTATAAAATGGGTTCATAAGCATATCCACCTCCTGGCAGATTGTGATGATTCCAACAAAGGATGGACAGATTTACTGGGACACCTATGTGGTGTTTCCCTGTGCCTGGCTCTTGGGCTGGCGTATGCCTTGCATATATTAGTTCATAGATAAATCTTGCAACAACCCTGTTAAGTGAGTGCTGTTAGGGCCCTAACAAGGAGGCTTGGGCACCAAGAGGTGAGGTGGATCTCTTGAGAACACACAGCTGGAAAGCAGGAAGCCAGCATCATTGTGGCCTTGGAGCCTCTCAAGTAGGCACTCAACGGGGGCTGTTGTTTTCACCCCCAAGGTTTTATGACAAAATGTTTTCAAGCACGCAGGGAAGCCGAAAGACTTGTAACCAGTCCCCTGTACACCCACCACCCAGATCCTGCCATTAGGTCTGTCTGCGCTTACTCTATCACTCATCTGTCCATCCCATTTCTGATGCATTTCAAAGTTGCAGACATCAGAATACTTCCCCCCACACATTTCAAGCATGCATACCGTGAAGTAGAATTCATTCATTTACCGCTCGTTTTCTTTTAAAGTCAAATACATGCTGTGCACAGACCCAAGTATGTTAACGACTACATATACTTGTGCAACCCAAGCCCCCATCAAGACCTAGAACATTCCTCCACTCCAGCCAACGCCTCCTGCCCCTTCCCAGTGAGTTCCCACCCCGACCCCTACCCCCTAAGGAATAGCCACGCTTCGACTTTTTTCACCAAGATTAGTTTTGCTGGTTCTAGAACTTCATATAAAGGGAGCCATACAGCACTGTACTCTTGTTTCTGGCTGTTTTCACCGGGAGCTGTCATCTGTGTGCCTCCTGGTGCAGATGCACACTGAGGCCCGAGGTGGGGGCGGGGGACTTGTCCAGGATCACCCGACACGCCGAGCGGGTGGCACCCAGGGCTTTGGCATCCAGCCTGCACAACACCGCCTCTCCACACCCGGCCTGACCTGTCTTCCCACAGGGCGAGAGGCTGAGCCACGCCGTGGGCTGTGCCTTTGCAGCCTGCCTAGAGCGGAAACAGCGGCGGGAGAAGGAATGCGGGGTCACGGCCGCCTTCGACGCCAGCCGCACCAGCTTCGCCCGTGAGGGCTCCTTCCGCCTCTCGGGCGGCGGGCGGCCCACTGAGCGAGAGGCCCCCGAGAAAAAGAAAGGTGGGTGCTGCCCAGAGGGGATCCAGTTTGGGGGGAGAGCGGCAGAAGCACAGGGAGTCTGCACTTTACAAAGCACAGCACCAACCACAGGGTTTGGTTGCAGTTTATAGAGCTTACTTATTGGGCAATATTGTGCAGGCCACAGATCCCGGCAAAACTCACCAGCACTCCATTATCTGCTAAGTCAGGGAGGCTCAGAGGCATTTCAAATTGTGTATCAAGGCCAGTTAATGGCTTGTGAAGTCAGCTTGGTGGATTGTGGCTGGCTGGCACTGAAAAAAACTGAAATAGAAAAGAATAGAAAATATCAGATTAGCTGAATGTATTAAGGTAAGTGTAGTTCAATGATACTTTTATTTTGTAGACATACACATATTTGTAGACATATACATATTTCAGTGTATGTCTTTGTGTGTGTGTGTCTGTGTGTGAGACAGGTTACTGTATGAAAGGTTTTTCTTACTCTGGGTTGCCATCAAGAAAAATATCTGGTAATCGCTAACATTCTAGGCAAGTGGCAAATATTCTGTAAATTCTAAAACAGTGTGGTTTTTATTATTTTCTTGGAAGAGAGAGTGGGAGCAGGGGTAGACAGAGAAGGAGACAGAATCCCAAGCAGGGGGTGCCTGGGTAGCTCATTTGGTTAAGTGTCTGCCTTCGGCTCAGGTCATGATCCCAGGGTCCTGGGATAGAGTCCCGCATCAAGCTCCCTGCTCAGCAGGAAGTCTGCTTCTCCCTCTCCCTCTGCCCCTCCCCCCACTCATTCTTCCTTGTGCTCTCTTTCAAATAAAAAAAATTTTTTTTAACACTGTCTGGGCCATAGCAGAACCCAGAGAATATATTCTTTTAATTGAAAAATTCTAGGTGCTTCATAAAAAATCTTTTTTTTTAAGATTTTATTTATTTGATAGAAAGCACAAGCGTGGGGGGGAGGGGAGAAGCACAGGGAGAGGGAGAAGCAGACACCCTGCTGAGCAGGGAGCCCGATTTGGGACTTGATCTCGGGACCCTGGGACCAGACCTGAGCTGAAGGCAGACGCCTAACCAACTGAGCCACCCAGGTGCCCCTCTCTCAAAATCTTAGGAAGGAAAAGAAAAAAAGAACCCCAAGCAGGCTCCACTGGGCTCAGTCTCACAACCCTGAGATCATGACCTGAGCCAAAATCAAGAGTCAGTCACTTAACCAACTGAACCACTCAGGCACCCCTAAAACAGTGTGTTTTTTAAAATATAAGTATACTGTGTTCTGAGTCACAGTATTTTTTTTTTTTTTTTTTACTGTGGATTCTAGTTTATAAATTTTTGGAAAACACTGCTTTAAAATTTACAAAGAACTTACAGTGGGGAACTGACCCAGATTAAAGGAGGCTAAAGAGATTTGACAAGTAGTTATAAATGCAGGGTGTGATCCTGAATTGGATCTTAGATGATCTCCATCTGTAAAGAACATCTCTAAGGGACATGATTGGGACAGTTGGGGACATTGGAACACGGACCACAGATTAGCTCATCGTCTTGTACCCACGTTAGACTTAATTGTACTGTGGTTCTGGAGGAGGCTGTCTTTGTTCTTAGGAGGTATATGCTGGAGGTTTTAGAGTGAAGGACATTGCCTACAATTTGCACTTAAACGGTACAGAAAAAAAATTGTAGAAGGGAAGAGAGATCAAATGAGTTAACTGTGGGGAGCATAGGTTAGGAGAACATGTGGGCTCAGTGTTCCATGATTACATCTTGTTTGTAAGTTTAAAATATTTCTAACAAAACAAAGTAAAAAATAAAAATAAAATGGGGCGTCTGGGTGGCTCAGTCGTTAAGCGTCTGCCTTCGGCTCAGGTCATGATCCCAGGGTCCTGGGATCGAGCCCCGCATCGGGCTCCCTGCTCAGCAGGAAGCCTGCTTCTCCCTCTCCCACTCCCCCTGCTTGTGTTCCGTCTCTTGCTATGTCTCTCCCTGTCAAATAAATAAATAAAATCTTTAAAAAAATAAAAATAAAATAAAAATGCAAATAAAAAAATAAAATAAAAATATTTCTAACTTAGGAAAACAGAAGTTTTTATCACTAGAATATTAGAGCGTCCAGAGTATATTTCTTTGTATAAATTACATGACCATTTACATACCTCTTGACAAATTTACAAGTTCTCCACAGGTTACAAAGTATTTTACTGTTTACATCATCTATTCGAATTTGTAAAGTATTTTACCATCTGCCAAGCAGATGACAAAATGAAGTTAACAGAGGGCCTGATCGAGTATATGATGTTTTGGTGTTTATGACATGGTTCTTCACAGTGTTGACAGATATTTCTTTACTGTTTATAGAGGCTGTTGGCATTTACAAAGAACGTGCGTTAGCTTTAGAGTTTGCAAAGGGTTTTGCTGTTTCCAAAGGATGTGATCATTTCTAGGTACTTTGCAATGTAGAAGGCACTTCACAGCTTACACAGCAAAGTGAGAGTTTACGGAGTGTGGTGTGATTTGCTGAACATACCACCCAGCATTTCACTGTAGATGTGCTGATTTACAGCCTCAAGGCACCGTGCTTGCCCTTCAACAAGGAGCTCCTTCCAATTTAGGAGTGATGGAGCAGTGCGCTTTCCACAAAATATGGAGGGGCTGCAATAATCTGGAAAATTCCCCAGAGGAAGAAGTGTGCCAAGCTGGGTCTAGAATGCTAAGTAGCAACTGGAGGAAGGGGCAGAGTACCTGAGGTGGGAAGAATGGTGGGAAGTGGAGAGAAAGAGAGAATTGAAGACAGAATGACAGGAAGATAGCCTGATGTGGAGAGAGTAGGCCAGAGGGAGAGGCAGGATTAGGGTATTCGTTTAGTACACAGGCTGGAGTCAGCCTGCCCCTTCCTAGCATCGTGGCTTCAGCAGAGTCACTTACCATTGCTGGGCCTCCGTGTCCACATCTGTAAAATGGGGATAATGCTCATATCAGCCTCATTGGGTAGTTGCGAGAATCGAATGACTCCATACTTGCAGGGCACTTGGAACAATGCCTGAGACATGCATCGTGCACCAAATACGTGTTCGTTAAATTAATCAGAAAGGGAGACAGAAGGTCTCAGAAGGGAAAACAGCGGAAGCAGCAAAGAAAGCCAGACTGGGGACAGAAAGCGAGAGAGACCCAGAAGGTCAGGTTGGAGGAGGAATCCCCGAGGGCCTCCTGGGGCAGGCGGTACTGGCGTGGTGGGGATGAGAGACATTTCAGGGCTCTGACCAGCCTGTCGTGAGGACAGGCAGGACATAGTGGGTGAGGAAGGCAGCACTAGAAGATGATCCAAGGGGACTTGGTGGGAGAGGAGCAAATACCTAGGTGGGGTATCTAACCACCTGTCTCCCCCATGTCTCCAGCAGAGGCAGCAGCTGCCCCAACTGCGGCGCCCGGCCCTGCCCAGCCTGGGCACGTGTCCCCGACCCCCGCCACCACATCCCCCGGTGAGAAGGGTGAGGCGGGCACTCCAGTGGCTGCAGGCACCAGTGCGGCCGCCATCCCCCGACGCCACGCTCCCCTGGAACAGCTGGTTCGCCAGGGCTCCTTCCGTGGGTTCCCGGCACTGAGCCAGAAGAACTCACCTTTCAAACGGCAGCTGAGCCTACGGCTGAATGAGCTGCCATCCACACTGCAGCGCCGCACTGACTTCCAGGTGAAGGGCACAGGTGAGCCCGGGGGCTCGGCGGGAAGGAACATCAGGATCAATACCATACCGCTGTCCGCAGTAAGCACCAGAGAGGGGAGAGGTGGTGTACACCTTGATCGATTAGCACTGTCCGCCAGGGCAAAGGAAAGAGAGGTGGAACACATCGTGGTCGATTGGCGATTAGCAGCATCTGCCTCCAGCAAGGGAGAGAGCGGTAGTATAAATCATGATCGATTAGCAATGTCTACCATTGGCAAGGAACCGCAGGATGGCACAAGCCTCAATTGATTCGTAATGTCTGTTGTGGTTAGGGAAATGAGAGAGGTGGCTTTCACAACAATTGATTAGCAGAGTCTGCCAGGGCTCGGGAGAGGGGAGAAGCTGCCTAGATGCCATTGTTTGCTCTGGAGGAAGCTGAGACTCCAAGCATTTGGCCATTGGAGCCATAAGATCTAGCTAGATGAAGGATACAGGCTCAGACGAAGGGAGGATTGTGATGGGTTAACAATGTCTGCCTGGGGCAGGGAGAATAGAATGACAGCATATGGTACGATCTCCTGACAGGGTCTGCCATGAGCAAGAAAAAGGAGCGAGGTGGCACACCATATGATTAATTAGTGAAGGTTGCCATGGATAAGGGAGAAGAGAGAGCAGCAGAAGTTATGTTAGCTCAAGGAGGGGCTCCCAGAATTTGGCCAGTGGAGACAGGAGGTGAAGAGCACACATGAGCATGGGGGTCAGGGGTCAAGGAGCATAGTGACGGGTTTGCAGTGTCACTGGCAGGCAAAGGATCAGGCAGAGGCAGCACCCATCATCGTTGACCAGCCATGTCTTCCAGGGACAGTGCTGAAGAAAGAGGTGACACATCATCATCGATTAGCCATGTCTGCCCTGGGTGCTGCTAGGAGAGGCAATGGAGCTGTTCTGTTTTTCTTAGAGGGGAGATGGAATTGCAAGGACCAGCGCTCTCTCTTAGCCATGAGGTCTGGCCAGGTGAGGGGGAAGGCGAGCAGAGTTCAGTGGGGAAAAAGCATCGTGTTCGATTACTCATGTCTGCCACGGGCTAGAAAAAGGAGAGAGAGGTGGGTGGCATAGGTCATGATCTAAAAGCCACGTCTGCGTGGGAAAGGGGGAAGAGAGGTGGCCCAGTGCCGTGTTCTGCCTGAGGGAGATAGACAAGAGGGCTGTCTTTCCTCCCAGCTGTCCGTGAAGTCACAGGGTCTGGCCCGCTTTCCTGCTTCCGTATGCCAGATCGGAGACGCCCACCTCTTATGGCCTCGGGGACTGGCGTGGGAGGTGTTGATCTGTGCCCGGAAGGCTGGGCTGCCCCCAAAAGTGACTGCTGAGCAGATGCCAATGCTGGTCGAGAGTGACGCACAAGCGCTCCCTGTCCTGCTGCGTCCCTCGGCAGTCACACACCCTCGCGCTTGCTGTCCTAATACAGCCTGACGCGAGCACACTCCCTGGCTCCCCCTGATTTGGAAGCTTCATGCACCTGGAACCAGTGGCACACTTGCTTAGGTGTGACCTGCCCCCCAGAATTTTCAGATCCATAGGAGTCACGGGTGCCACACACAGAAGTCACACACTCATTGTGACTCAGAAGTCACACACCCTCGGAAGTCACAGAAGCCGACGTTTCCATTAACACACACTGGGCACGTATCCAGATAGCCCACGAGGATGTACACACACTCACAAACCACACACCCGGATTCACGCAAACTTGAAAGTCACATCTCAGATTCACGCACGCTTGCAAAAACATTCGTGTGTCACACAGGGGTGGCTGGATTGGCTCACGCTTGGGAAGCACAAGCAAGGTGCCACATGCCTGGGTTTTGGTCACACTGAGATGTCACGCCCTCAAAAAGCTGCACACCTATTTGGACTAAACCGGTCATCCTAGAATTGACCTGGAAACCACTGCCCTTCCCACCTGGGCACCCCCACGTCACACCTGCGGAGCCCTACAGCCGATTTCTTTCTGATGCTCATCGGAGCATCATACAGGTTCATTGGGGACAACCACTTGCTGAGATATCACACCACACTGGCATTTCTCCGTTGTTTGTTTGGTGTGGTTTTTTTTTTTTTAATATTCTGCATTTATGACACTGCTTATTTTATTTTATGAAGATTTTATTTATTTGAGAGAGAGAGAGTACAAGTTGGGGGAGAGGGAGAGGGAGAGGCAGACTCCCCACTGAGCAGGGAGCCTGAGGCGGGGCTCGCCGGGATCATGACCTGAGCCGAAGGCAGACCTTAACTGACTGAGCCACCCAGGCGCCCCTCTGTTGTTTATCCGGATGACACCTTTGTTCATCCCAAGCCCTCGTGAGGCCACCATACCTGCTCAGGTTTTCCTGGCTGGCTGGAACAGGTGCATCTCTGCCCTCATGATGTATGCTCTTGGCCAGGCCAGGTGTGGTGGACAGGGCCCTGCTTCTCCACCCAAAGTCGGACAAATGATCCCCAGCCGGTGCACAGCAGTGTGGCCAACATCCATCCTGACAAGTCAGTCCTCTTGCCATCTATGTGGTTGGACATATTTTTAATTAATATATATTGGTAAACATTTAAAATATTTCTTCTGGTTTGTAGCTATACCCAGATCTCGAGGTCCTCCTTGGTTGGGGGGGGGTCCCTGTGACTCTTAGCCAGCACATGTCCCATACCACTTGGCTGTTGTGTCGCTCAGATGTAACATCTGCACAGAGTTAGCCTATTTATGGCCACGGCCGTTTGGTTCCTGCAGAGTGGACCCATGACCCACACACCCCACGATCCCAGGTCGTCAGAGGGGGCCACCTGAGCACACGGGGTTGAGGGCAGGGCCTGGGCCTCTTCGCTGACCTCCACCCTTCCCTGACTTCCCAGTGCCTGAGATGGAGCCTCCCGGTGCCAGTGACAGTGACAGCATCAATGCTCTGTGCACACAGATCAGCTCGTCCTTCGCCAGCACCGGAGCCCCAGCACCGGGGCCACCACCGGCCTCAGCAGGTAAGCCCAGCCCATCTCCTGCAGCAGCCACCCCACAGTGCCCCTCCTGCAGCCCCATTCAGGGCTACCTCCCGGACGCCGGGAACCTGGGAATCCCACGAGCTTAGAACCATGGATCATCTAAGGGCTATGGGACCATCCTAGCACCATGGAGTCCATTTTGAGCCTTAGATCATAGAATCCCAGGGTCTCAGAGCCATGGGTTCATCCTAGAACCATGAGGTAACATTAGAATCACGGGGTCAACTTAGAACCACAGGATCAATTTTAAACCTTCCTGTCTCAGAACCATAAAATTTAGAAACCTACAGCTTTAGAATCACAGGATATTAGAACCTCCAGATTGGGAACCACGAAACCTTGGAATCACCCTAGAACCATGAGCTTATCCTGGAACCACGGAAGCACTTGGAACTGCAGTATAAATTGAGAACTCTAGAGTCTTCGAAAGCACAACCTTAAAACCCCCGAACCTTGCTCACTATGTTGGAACAGTAGAGTATACTCTGAGAAAGATCCACGCAATCTTAGAAGCCTAGCCTCCCAAAACGATACATTGTCAAAATAATCAGAACTAAGGGTGCTAGTAAAAATATTTAGTAACAAGTTTGGCACTGACCAAAAAGAAGGAAAGCTGGGCTGGTGATTGTCCGTCTCGCAGGTACTCTTCCATCTTAGGACCTGAGAATCCCAGAACCGTATTTTCTGAGCACTTCGGAACCATTCCATGGTGCAGGGTGGTTAAGCCGTTTGCCCTGAAGTCGACACAGCTAGTGAGGAGCGGAGCTGGATGCAAGGCACACAGCTGCAGGATCCAACCCCCAGCCTAGGGTTCTCTCAACTGTCCCCTCTCCTCTCTCTAGGAACTTCCGCCTGGGGTGAGTCCTCCGTGCCCCCTGCAGCGGCCTTCCAGCCCGGGCACAAGCGGACCCCTTCGGAGGCCGAGAGGTGGCTAGAGGAGGTGTCCCAGGTGGCCAAGGCACAGCAGCAGCAAGCGGCCTCCGTGCCCCCCGTGCCCCCCGCCCTGCAGCCCTTCCCCGCCCCCGTGGGGCCCTTCGATGGCGCGCCCGCCCAGGTGGCCGTGTTCCTGCCGCCCCCACACATGCAGCCCCCTTTTGTGCCCACTTACCCGGGCTTGGGCTACCCGCCCATGCCCCGGGTGCCCGTGGTGGGCATCACACCCTCACAGATGGTGGCCAACGCCTTCTGCTCAGCCGCCCAGCTCCAGCCCCAGCCTGCCACCCTGCTCGGGAAAGCTGGAGCCTTCCCGCCCCCGGCCATGCCCACTGCCCCTGGGGGCCAGGCCCGCCCACGCCCCAATGGGGCACCCTGGCCCCCGGAGCCGGCCCCTGCCCCGGCCCCTGAGTTGGACCCCTTTGAGGCCCAGTGGGCAGCATTAGAAGGCAAACCGGCTGTAGAGAAGCCTTCCAACCCATTCTCGGGCGACCTGCAGAAGACCTTCGAGATTGAACTGTAGCCCATGCTGCCCTGCCCGCCCCAGCATCTCTGGGTGCCCCACACCTGGGCGTGGAGGCCCAACCTCTCCCTAGTCCCGCTCCCTGGGGCTGCGCCCCCCCCAACACCCCCTCTAGCCCCTTCTCTTGATCACCCCCCCACAACCACTACAGAACCGACATTGTACGCCCAGATTGCGACAGGATGGAATTCAGGGATGGACCCGGCCTGGCTAAGGGACCCATTTCACTGCCAGACTTAAGCTGGCAATGCCCTTCCCCCACCCCCCACCCCCACCCCAGACACAAGGGGATGGCCACAGTCCCACTGAGTGCCCTCAGTTCAAGTGACATGTCCCAGTTTCTGTTGACCTTCTACCTTCCAGTGTTGGGTGGGATGGAAAAGGGATGCCCACTTTGGGGCTCTTCTGGGCCCCACACGAGGGCCCACCCCAAGTCTGGTCGTCCCCTCCCATACACAGCACAAGCAAAGGGCTTCCCTCTGCCCACCTGCTGCGTTCACTGCCAATGCTGTGCTCACCCCTATCACCCCTCTCCCCCACTGGGGGGGGGCCCACATCTTCCTTGGCCAAGGTCTCATGAGGGCGGGGGCCAAGTTGGGGGCCGAGGAGGCGGGGTAGGAGGAAGGGGAAGGAGATGCTCAGTTACCTCACGTCAGTGCCCGCTGGGGAGGGGTCCGGGACGAATGGGGGGGGTGCCTGGCGGGTACTTTTCTATCTTTTATTTCCAGATTTTTTTGTATCTAAACTTACAGATTTGTATTATACAAGGACAGCCAATAAAGGAAGAATATAATGATGCCCCTCGGGACAGCGGGGTGTGTGTTGGGGTTGGGGGGGAATGGTGTGGTGGCAGAGCCTTACCTCCTGAGCCATCGCCTAAAACGAGAGGGAGTAAAAAGGGTCTCCCTGCACCATAACCTCTGAGTCATAACATGGTAGCAGGGAATGCTGACCCAGCATTTGAGAGATGGGTATTAAAGGGGACCCAAAATTAATCACCCCAATTTCTAATTCTTACAGATTTTGAACCAAGGAATTCAAAAAATTATAACCTGCTTCTAATCAGTTCAGTATTGAAATGTTATTTTTGTATTTTTTTTTTTTTTTTTTAGTTCAGTATGGAAATTTTCAATAACCAGGTTTGGAATAGATCTTTGAGCTGGAAAATTCTTGTTTGGTCAAGTGCATTTTCTGTAATTTAGGCCAAAGTGTCATCTGACATGGCAGCATGTTGCTTTTTAAGTCTCTTGTTTCTTGGGTCCCTTGATATCATCTACAAGTTATATATTTTAAAATAGGTAACATACAAATTATATGTTTAATTCTTTATAGCTCTTGAAAATGAGGTGTCTGATTTTGTGAAACCCAGTATTATATCCCCAGCTGATGGATTGGGAAGTTCCCAAGGCCACACACCTGATCCGCGGGGGGGAAGCTGTGATGAACCCAGCTCCTGGCCAACCTCAAGGCCAATCATTAAACCACCAGGCTGCAAGGGAATAAGCTTAAGGTCTGCCCTTAAGAGTTTCCAGCCCATCAAGCAGGTGTGGACCCTGGACTCTGAGACCTATGCCAGATGGTTCTGCCAGGGCACCCAGGGGTGGCCAGGGAGGGAGCAAAGGACTCTGCTGGAAATGACCCATGCTTTCTCATCTCCGAGCTTTGCAGATGCCAGTCCCTCTGCCTACAACACCTTTCCTGACAGCACCTTTGTCTAGAGAGTGCTACTCATTGTTTAGGCCTCCGTTCAAATATCACCTCTTCTTGGAAAGGAAGCCTCTTCCATTGCTCCCCCCTCCAATCCTTGTAAAGTTTAGACAAATCCTTTCAAAGTTTGCCCCTTCAGGCTGAGTCAGGAGCACCCTTTCCCACTTGGGCCCCCTGCTCCCCCTTCCTGGAGCTAATTCAGTCCTAGCCCTGCCCCATTCTGGGCTGTCGCTATCTGGGCCTCCACTGGGCTGTGAGCGTGGGTCTCTCTCAGTCACTTCAATGCTACAGCACAGGGCCGGGCCCAGAAGGGGCAATCTCAGCAACTCAACTCTGCAATCTGCTGACTAGGGAGAGGGGCAGAAAGGGCCTAGGACTCGGACAGAGATGATTAGAGCATTTGGACTGATGGGGAAACTGAGGCCACGCAGCACACAGAAAATCAGGGACAGAGTCAAAACTGTCTTCCCTGTCACAGGCTGATCTTTACCCAAAACCATGCTTTCCTGTGCCCAGAGCAGTCTTTCTCAGCTGCCCCCGCCCCAAAAGTCCCCAGAGATGCAGATGTTCTGGTCCCCCAGGCTCCACGGGCCCATTATCTCCCAAGCACCTCGCACAGGCTCCTCTCAGCCCATTTCCCCATCTTCCCACACCCGACGGAGACTGGCTCTTCATGGTGCTTCTCTCTCCACAAAGACCGTAGATCGGGGGTTAACCTCCCACTCTTCACTTCCCCCAAGCTTGGGCTCTCTCAGAATAGATCTAGAGATGCAGAGTTAACGCCCCCGCCCTATCTGGGAACCTCCTCCCACCTAACGCCGCGTGCGGCATCCCCACCCCACTGCCACCAAGGTCACTTTGCGGGGATCATCCGGCCAAGGCTGGTTCAGCGCCCCCTTTCCAGTTCTGTCTGGAAAGGCCGGCCCACCCTCACAGCGGCTCCCCGCGCCCCGCCGCGCGCCCCTCGGGGAATGGGCCATGTGTGCCCCTCCCCGTGCTTTCTGGAGGGTTCCTCCCCTCGGGATGCCTTCTCTTCAGGCACCAGGGGGGTAGCGAGGCTCTTTTGGAACGTTCCACGCGCGCTAGTGCCTAGCGCCCCGCCCCTTTCCCCGGGGCTCTTTGGAAGGCTCCGCCCTGCGCCGCTGCCGAGGGGCGCCCCGCCCCCGAGCCAGGGGAACGGACCCCACCGCGCCGGCGCCCTGCGGCTCCCCGGGGCCCCCGCGCCTCTCGGGGCGGAAAGCCCCCCCGCGCCGCGCACACAAGCAACCCCCGCCCTCCAGAGCCCCCGCCAGATCTCCGGCTCCCGCAAGGCCGCGGGGATCAGCGCGAGCGCGGGAGAGCAGCTCCCCCTTGTGGCCCTGTCCTCGGGAACTCGCGGCAAGCCCGATCCCGGGCTCGGAAGGAGAGACACGCAGGACGGATGCTAAGGCAGAAAAGGTGTTAAAATGCATACATGCATGCAGACATGCATGCATGCATGCATAAAAAAAATTGGCGTCGCAGTCATGAACAACGTTCTGCAGGCTCTGGATCAGCCGTTTGCTCCTTTAGGAAGTGCTCCCTGACTCCTCCCCATCATCCATTCCTCCAGCTCCTCCTTGACCACCCTGCCGGTGCCTCCCCGGCCTGGCCCCCTATCATGAGCACCTATGAAGGCGCACACACGAGGTGTGCCTTTCCACAGTGTCAGCTCTATTCAATCATAAAGCAAAGTTAAATCACAATTATGGAGCAGGTTCAGGATTCCAAACTCAATGACAATTCACCATGTGATTAAATTTGGCTTCTGACACAGCACACAGAGCAGGACAGAAGACAAGCCCGCACAACAAATAAGATCACAGAGGGGTGCAGGAAGTGAACGAACCAAAGGCAAAGTCAGTCTGTGGGCGCGCAGCTGAGATAAGGCCTCTGTCTGGCCCAGGTCGGCTCTTGGCACTTACTGCTTCCGATGTTCAAGCCATGAAGGGTCTCGGTTCTGTCCGGAGATCAATCAGATGCCTCTTTTAAGTGGTCAAACATAGAGGGGTCAGGTCTGAAGAGTCTGACAGTTTGCTGCCAAAATCCTAACCTTTTTAAAGGAATTTAATCGGTTTTGGGTCTCTGCAGACCTGCTCTGGTTCTGCTCCTTATCGGTTTGGGGGTGCCAGCTGATGTTGGTCCCCGCGATATCTCCTAGCTGCGGTACCTTAACTGCTTGTGTCATGGCTTGACACAGGCCGCTGCTTGACATGAGAGACTCCATTTTGCTCTCTACAGCCCCCCCCCCCGGGGGGCTGTCACTGTCCGCCTGTGAAGGCAAGGACAGGGCCGTCTGGGTCACCACTGGGCCTCCACAATCAGGGCACAGAGTAAGCCTCGGATGACCAGCAAGGCACCTCTTAGGGAGCATTCACTTACTCCCTCAACACACATTTTGCTTTGTTTTGATTTAATAGCTTTATTGAGGGGCGCCTGGGTGGCTCAGTCTGCCTTCGGCTCAGGTCATGATCCTCCGGTCCTGGGATGGAGCCCCACATCCAGCTCCCCGCTCAGCGGGGGAAGGGGGAAGGGGGTCTGCTTCTCCCTCTCCTCCTGACTCTCCCCATTGCTCATGCTCTCCCACTCTCTCTCTCGAATTAAAAAAAAATTAAAAATTAAATAAAATACTTAAAAATAGTTCTATTGAAGAATAATCTACATATCAAAAATTTCACCCGTTTTAAGTGCTTTCATGATTTGGGGTTGACTTTACAGAGTTGTACAGCCATCACCACACTCCAATTTTAGAACATTTCCATCATCCTAAAAAGATTCTTGGGCCCATCTGCAGTCACTCCCCATTCCCACACCCAGCCCCAGGCAGCCAATGATCTCCTTTCCCTCACATATGTATCTTTTTCTTCATTTTACATGCATTTGCTGAATAATTGCTTCCATCAGATATTAGGTGCCGAGAATACACAATGACACACACAGGCTCTGCCCTCAGGGAAGCTAAAGTCTGGCTGGGGCAATGGCTAATGGGAAAATATGTCCATGTGCTCATTCATTCATTCAAAACTATTTAATGTTTATTGAGTGCCTTCCAAGTGCCAGGTACTACCCTAGGATCTAGGGATAGAGCAGTGGGGGGTGGGGGGAGAACAAAAATCCTGCTCTGCTGGAGTTGATTTTTTTTTTTAAAGATTTATTTATTTATTTGAGAGAGCGAGAATGAGAGAGAGTACATGAGAGGGGGGAGGGCCAGAGGGAGAAGCAGGCTCCCCGCCGAGCAGGGAGCCCGACGTGGGACTCGATCCCAGGACTACGGG